GCATCATTATCACTAATCCTTAATACCAAATGTACGTTTTTCTGCGGCAGTCGCGTGCAAACTGTCCTGAGATTTGCTCAGCTTGAAAGTAATAGACTGTTCTCAGAATTCAAGCTTCACTTTGAATAGCAGTAAACCACACATGAAAATGCTGTGAAAAGCTGTCGGGTTTGTTCGCGCATATATAGGTTAGTGTTAACCACATGGTGTCCTTAATACTGACACGTGTGCTTTGGCTGTTATGAGGAAGCAAGAAGTCAGATAAGTCTGAAAACCTCAGGTCTCACTACTGAGGCAAGCTTGATTCAAGTTTCAGCTGCTCTGCCTCTGTCACACCTTCCCATGTCCTTGTCTTTACAATGAGCTCTCCCTCAATAAAAGGCTTTGAACCCTCTTTTGTCCTGGCTCCCTGCTCCCATTCTACACCTTGAACTCCACCCATTCTCAAGTTCTGCTGCTTCGCTGGGAAACTGCGCGGTTGCCGTGAGAGAGCTCGTGGTCATTTGTTGCATTGCGTGCCAATGAACAGGGGAACATGACAACATATAGGCCTAGTCATGCAATTGTGTGTGTTGTGCAGCGAGCATCATCACAGACAGTCATCGGACAGAATGTCAAAAATCAATGATGGCAAATGATCTACACAGGCTGACATGCAGGGGCACAAAGCTGATTGCTTGATAAGATGATGAATTGATGGTGGCCCTCCATCTCTCCTCGTGGTCCAGCATATGAAAACAACCCCAGACTCCTCTGGCAAACACACATCCATTAAACACAGCTCTGTTGTCAGAGAAAAACATGGTTGCCTGGAGAGGGAACATTGTTGTGTCCACAGTGCACAGCTGCTCTTCAATATTTTATACAATTTAAGAATTTCTTGCTTCGAAGAGAAAATGTATTTCTAGAAAAATCAACATAAATCAGCATCTCTGGCATGAGGACTTTGTATCCTTAACTGCAGGGCCAACACAACCTGCTTTTCAAGACCAGCGAATGTGCACGGAAAGAGACCCGAGGGTATTCAACCTTCCCGAGTTTTGGAGGGATACTATGTCTGTTTTATTTCTTGGCAACAGTAAACGAGTAAAACATTTCTAAAAGAAAAGGCCCCACTGTAAATAACTTGGCTTTTTACGCAGCTTTGGTTTGTGCCGAGGGGCATTTTTCAAAACTAACAAACGGGTCAGAAAGTGTTTCTGCGGCGAAGCTTTTCAGAGGGTACGAGACAACAGCTACTTGACAACACTCATCTGAATGGACATGTTTGAGCAGTTGTCACATTGATTTTGAGTAAACAGACTCCACTTCCACTCAATCTGTCTGTTGCAATGGAGCAGTCTGACCTTTGTCGTGACCCGGCTTGTGTTTGGCTGAAGCTTAATTCCATCGTGTCTCTCAGCCTGGAAAGACTGAAGCTGAGGTCTTCACAGGATAAACAATCTTAATAGCTCTTTCTAACTAAACAGTTGGCTATTTCGCCTTATTTTTAAAGTCTGCCAGTGATTAGGGAGATCTGACAGAGCTCATTAGGAGGCGATCAAGTTAACTTCCAGTTCCAGACTAAATGAACTGACTGCATGGGGCAATTCAAAATCTAAGAAAACTGTCCCGCTTACTCCTGGATCTGGGGAGGTGGGGTGTTGAAGTAATCCCGCTGAGTTCTCCAGCTGCACAAACAAAGCTGACTGGATAACAAGGGCTTTCCAAGAGAGAAGAAGAAGAAGAAAGAGGAGGACTCCAAAAACCACAGCATCTTCATGTGTACCTGCTCCTAGATGGCCCTAGAGTGAGCTCTGAGAATGACCAGAAATCAGGAAACCACAACATGACCACACTGATTAAGCCTGTCGCTATAGAACAGACAGCCCGGGCTTGTTCCCGTCCAGTTCATAAATCACACTGCGCAACCTAAGGAGAGGCTGCGAAGTGCTGCCGACCTCGTCCAAAGCCGCAGCAGAAACCAGAAACCTCGTCTTAAATCTACTTGTCATTGTCTCTGGGGGATGCATAATGTTTCCGACTGTGGAGCGTTAACGTTGCATGAAGAAAAAATGCCTGTCAAAGCTCTCAAAAAAACCCCAACCATTTGCAGCATCATTACCAACTGGCAGCAGATTTGAACAAGAGGCCGGGCCGAGCTTGAAACGTGACAGAAGAAGAACAGCCCAGAAAGCATCAGGAGATCCTGGCATGCTGCTACAAGCATCAGCGCCTGGTCATGGGGGGTCTCATAGTTTGCCCAAGTCCTTCAAGTGGAAAAGGAATGTAACAGGAGACTTTAAAGCTGATGGATTCAGTCATTTGGGTAAAACGCCGTCCTAAAATAGTCTCCAGCAAATATCAGCTTATGTAAATGTTTATAAGATAATCAGAGCAGCACTGACGGTAACTGAGAGGAGTTGTTTTGAAAAGGAGAGACAGATAGTGCATGTGTATTTCTCTATCAGGCAAACTGTCTTCAGTGACCTTTAGCGACACAACCTATTCGCATTCGGGTAAAAAGCAGAGGACGCCATATTTACTCCTCTGATCGGAGACACTCCCAGCTCTTGGCCGTGAAAGCTGCTACATGTTGTCAGCTGTGTGTTGTGACTTGCGCTTCGGCAGCTTGTGAACAGAAGGCATTTATTTTGCTCCAGCTGCCACACCCAAGGAAAGTGTTTTTCAGCTCAAGGGGGAGTACCAGCAAGAACTCTGTAGAACCCAGATGGCTCTCTGCAGAATGCTATTATTAGAGAAAAGCCCAAATGTATGGACACATGCATCATCTCCTGTGATCTGCCAAGGCTCCCATTCTTCCTTAAAACGTTCTGTATTGACCCCTGACAGGTTTCATTTAACCAGGTGAAAGCCAAGGTGCCTCTGGCAGGCCACTGATCTCAGTGTTGTCACCCCTCCTATCTGGCTGAATAAAGTGCTGAGTGTCGACAACAAAAGAGAAGCGGGACTCCCAAAGGAAAACCCTTCTCACTGCTTCCTATGAGCCGACCACTCTCAGGCCTGAGCTGAAACCCGAGCATCCTTCAGGGATCGACACCACCCACCCACCCGCCACCCGTCCCCGCCTTCAACCCCCCTGGTGACCCGTTTCCTTTAAGTCCCGCAAATCCAGTTCCCACCGCTGAATTACCATTCATTTATTTATCCGTTCATGCACGTTTACCTCTATTTATTTATTCAACCCATCTATTTGTCCTCATTTCTCATGCAGTCCCTGGAAGTCCCCTGCTGAGAGGGGTCCGATTACAGCGGCTGTCTTGTGGAGGAGAGCAGGGCCACTGAGCTCAGTGAGCTGGGTCAGCAGCACACACACCCTCAACTCATGAAGTCATGGGCGGCTGGACTGAGCCAGTCTGCCTGCGCTAAAGATTTTAAAGTCCCTCTTTAAAGACTAATAGCATGTCTGTGAAAGGCGGCGTGTGCCTGGAGCTGTGGCACCCCGGGGTTACTCCTGCCCAGGCCAAGGATGGTGAAGAGTGTGAGGAAGCCTGGCAGCGGTCAGGTCCGGTGAGGTGGCGGCTTTTCTTCTGGTGCAATGAGCCATGTGGGTCACATTGGCCAAACGCAGGCCGGCCGCATCATGCCCATTCTTCAGGCTCTCCAATGCATGCTGGGAGAAGCATCTGAGTCCAAAGGTGGCCGTGCAGGCAGCCCCCCAAAACAAAGCAAGCTTCTCTCTCACAACACCAGCATCAATGAAGCTGCCGACAGGGCCCTCAACACTTGACAGTCCTCTCCTAATGCTGCAGAGCCTGCTTCCTCTTCGACCCCCTATCCTGATGTTATCACAGTGAGATTTGTTTGCTAGTCTTAACTCAACAGGCTTTGCAGCGTCCGTGTGCTTTTGAGACTTTGGTTTGTCGCCCCGTATCCTCGGCTGGGGCTTCAGACCACCTGCTAATGAGAACAGCAGCGTGCAGACTGACCCAGAGCATCCACAGGACAGAGGATGATGGATGGCGGCTTTTATCTGGGCAATAAACATTAGTTCCTCCTCCTTATCACCTTATCTCGTTGTGATTTGAGGATTCTCCCACAACAGGATGCCTCGTGGCTTGACTGCTGACACCTATGTATCCCTCTCTGCAGGGTTTCCTCTTCCAGACACAAGAAACAACCTGCTGTTTGGTCAGTCCAGCCTTATAGTTGTGATAAGGGAATGTAACACAGGGCTGACAAAAGACTGAAATGTTCCAATATAAACATGTCTATAATACACGATATTGTGACGACAGCGTATTCAGATTGCTGTTCCAATATTTGCTCATTCTAAATCTCTGACAACAACCTGTTGCAGTGTGTTTTGTTCTGCCTGCCTTCTTCAGCCCCATGCGATTAACTCCCGTACATGGGGATAATGGAGGCTTTTGTCTTATTAATACATCCTTTCAATACAATGCCTTCTTTAGAGTGACGGATGAACAAGCCCCAACAACATCGGAGGGGTCAGAGAAAGGGGGGGCACAGCGGGCTGCACAACGGCTCCAAGGAAATGTGTGTGGAGGCCCCTGCGAGGACGCGCCCGCGCGCACAGCTCAACCTCCAACAACAGCTACACAGACAGCATGTGATGCCCCCCCTCACCCCCTTGTATGATCGACAGATGTAGACCTGCATGTTAATATTTAACACCACACACTGTTATTCATTAGAACACACACACACACACACACACACACACACACACGCACGCACTGTGGCTGCAGCAGTGTTTTGTTTCTGAGCCCAAGTGGCTGGTTGCTTCACGTTAGACATTCTGCTGTCAGGGGCGTTTGTTTGTGAATCAGCGACACATTTCGAGACTTTGAGCGTCAACGGAGACTTTCAGTTCGTTATTAACGCACATGAGTGATCGGGGATGTTACGAAACAACCCCCGCACCGTGGAATGACTTAAATCGACTCATTTCACGTGAAAGCGCATTCAGACACATCAGATCCTTTTGTTAGGCTGCAGCAGCACATGCAGACTGTCACACCAACTCTTGTTTTACTCACCCCATGAGAGATGTAGGAAAGAGCAGCGAAAAGACGCTCCGACTAAATATGTGTCTCCAAACGTCCTCACATGTGGTCTCCGCTTTCCACAAATGCTGCGTCAAAGTTTGGGCGCCTTCCCTCTGCTCCGGGGTCGAGAGGCAGCGGTGACAATCAAAACTTTGGTGGAGGACTAGACGGCGTGTCTCGTCTAGTCTCTGGTAAATCCATACCGGTCTGTGCACCGCCGCGGAAACCGTTTAAGGATCTCCCGAAAGAGCGATGATTCAAAAAAAGAAGAAAAAAACGAGGAGCGATGAGAGCCAAAGAAGACTTTTTTATTTGGAGACAGCACTTTCTCTTTTGTCGCTCTAATCCAGCAGTCCGTCTGATTGTCCTCCTGGCTGCTCTCTGGGAACAACAGCTCCACGGGACTGTGGAGAGTCAGGGAAGCGCGCGCACAATACGCCGTCACACTCAAACACACACACACACACACACCCACGTGAGAGACAGAGTGTATGGAAACGTCACATGCCCATAAAGAGTCGCGAGTCTCAGTGTAGAAATGTACCGATGAAGCTGGGTTGTGGACAGCAATTAATATGGAAAATACAAAAAAAAAGAAAATCCTATTTCTGGACCTTTTCTCCAGCACACAAATGAAGTCCAGATGTTCCACCTCTTCACTTCCTCTCCCCTAGCAGATCCCAGCGTGAACCAGAGCCCACACTTTACAACTCATCCTGGCCCAGTTTCCCCTGAGAGCAGTGGCCATGCATATCTAAAGCCCTGCAGTATGACAATACATTCTCCAGTGTTATGATGAGTAAATAAGCGTTTGACCTGCTCCTGTGACGCTATTTGGTTAGTTGTTTGTGATGAGTCATCGCTGTGATTTTCACATGCACCCCTCAGGTCTGACTTTAGGTCTAATGCTGAGGGTGAGGTGGAGGTGGGTCAGGCCTTGTTAGTCATCCGGGTTGCGCCTAGATGCCCCAGTGAAAGAGATCTCCAAGAGGAGGGAATAATGTCTCACAGTCATTATGATGAAAGACAAAGTCGTCCATGATGTAATCTGTGATAGGAAGAGGGAGCTGCGTGAGGTTGTCATATTTATGAGGAGTTCCCTGGCTTCTGTGTTAAGGCTGGTTTACACCAATGCTTCATTTGATTTTAGAGTAGTCAGAGTAAATCTGACTAAATATATTTCTTTTATTGCACAATTAAAAATTAATCTCTGTTTAGTAAGTTTAAACAAAATAGTTTAGTCAATATGGAGAGGCTTGCTTACCCAAATGAAAATGATACATTTGCATGTTGTTGAGATAAGTGAAAGATTTTAAAAAATCTGTTAGTATAATTTTGCTCATAATGACTCAGCAGGAAAGGTCTAGTTTCCCCTGCTTTGAGAAAACTCGGAATTAATGTAAAATATCACCAAATAACAGAAGATATTACAACGAACAGCAGAAACGTTTTTCACAGAAGGGAAAAAAACAGTTGGTCCAATCTTTCTACTCCAGAGCAGTTTCCTGGCTGAACCTGTACCCCGAGAGAAGTTCAGCTGCAGCATCATAAAACTCGACTGTGATTCTGTCCCTTGACTTTCTTCAGGGAACTTTATTAATTTACCCAATCCGTCTAAAAAAATGTTAAACCTCCCCAGGTGTAAGTTTGAAATTAGAGCTGCTGAATGTGACATTGTCTATAAAGAGGCAGTGGAGTCATGTCTACCTGAGCAGAGGAAGAAGTCTCTCTCCCTCTGTGTGTGTTGTTATCCGAGCTTCTCTGTTGTTTGTTGACAAAGTAATTGTTTAGCTGGGCGTGCTTTTAGTTCATGTTTGTGCATGTCAGGGTGCCGACAAAGCGGAAGCGTATAGCACCCAGGGTCCGGTTCCCCTCTCAGTTACACACTGTTGCGCTGTTAGCTTCGAGCTGCCAGCTCAGCCGTCGCCATGTTGAGAGCCGTTTGGAGGCAATAGAAATGCACCCAATCTCACATTAAGCACCTTTCATTTTCATACAGTTTTGGTGCCACAAAATTACATTTAATCAAGTTTTAGAGTAAAAACTCAACTTCTAGAGAGGTTTAAATCTAATCTCTCTTAAATTTAAGGGGGTTTCAAAGTTTGGTGCAACATGATTTGCAGTTTGAAGTTAAACCATGATTTAATCAGGTTTATAAAATAATCCTTGTTAGAGCAACCCAGCCTGAGGGTTTATTCAGAACTGCACTGCTTAAGGGAAAATATGTAAATGGAAATGGAAGACTTTGGTTGAGACAAATCACTGATGATTCAGAGCTTAACTTTGAGAGGTGTTGCACTTCAAAGACCAGGAAGCAGGTGGTACTTCTTCAGACTCACGCATGGCAGTCCTACCTACCTGGCTGAATGACATCAGGGGAAGCACCTCACAGCTCATTATAAGCAGTCTACCAACGGGGGTTAAAGCAACATGCCCAATGAAAAAAAACGACAACAAATGAGTCTTGGTCTGGTCCCCACCAAACAGTTTCAACAAGTTTGACTCATGTCGTGTCTGCTGATGGTTTACTGGGGGAGAAAGGATCAAGATTGTGCAATCCACTCTCACCGCACTCATCCCTGCCGCCCCCGCAGCAGCTGGTATGTGGAAAGTACTCACTGTAAAGAGGAAAGAAGAGGAACTTTGCAATAATTCTGTTGGAGATGGAGACAACTTTAACGGTTTAGCGATTGTTGTTCGCCGTCTGCATTCTCAGCTGAAGTGGCAGGTTGAATGAGCAGTGTGTGTGTGTGTAGTAGAAAGGCTTTATGGACTCTCACTGCCGGTGGGTTTATGATGGGACACTTTTAAAAGCCGCCCCACTGCTGTGTCTCTCAGTAAGCTTTTAGGGGAGGGGTCAAGAGCCCTGACCTCACTTCCTGTTGGGGCTCCTCACAAGCATTCCATTGTCTGTGAGAATGTGCACAGGCTCGGGGGAGTCTGCACATCTGGCAGCTGTTATTAGCAACCTCCTGTACCCCCCCACCCCACCCCACCCCCACCCCTCACAGCCCCCGAGGAAGATTACTTCATGTGCTGGTGGATGTGCTCCCCAAAATGCACCTCAAAATAAACTCTGGGAGAGTATTGTTTCATGAGTCACTGCTGTGTTTGTCACATCAGGTAGAAAGTCGTATAAACGATATATAATATGTTAATTAACAAGTTTTAGAGGTTCTGGTTGGACGGAGTTAGGCTTTGTGCTAAGCTAAGTTAATCGGATGCTACATTTATCCAACTCTAACTTTTCGTTGATGTTATCATCACCTTACAATAGACAGAGTGTAAACCTTCCTCTCTGACACGGAGCATTAAGAGACGCTGCGGTCCCCTAACCTGGGTTTGAACTTACCAGAAGTAGGACAGGTTTTATTTCAGAGCCTGAGATGAGAGCTGCAACAGAAAGTAGATCAGATCAACAAAGAGACAACTCTGCATTGCTTATTACTCATCTCTTTAGACCCTTTTTCAAAGAGCTCCGCATGACCCAAAAAAGGCTACGTTGTCTTTCGGAGAGAGGCTAAATATTCTGCACTCCTACTTTTAGATGCAGGATTACACTGGGGATGTCATTAAGAGTAAACTGTTCTCAGGCTCTGTGTTGTGTGTGATGGGGGACTTTCCATCCCTTGTTTATCCTATTTCTATAGCACATGAGCCAAAGATGTCAATATGCAATGTCTGAAATAAGGGCAGCCACAACGGGCCCTAACACTCCCCTGCGTGCCCCTCCTTTCTTCCAAGTAATGAGTAATTTATTAACAATACATATCAATCCAAACATGTCTGACGACAGCAAATTGTTTTGATTTCAAACAGAAACTACGTAGAAAGCGAATAAGGGAATGGTCTCTTCCAAAGAAAAAAGCCTCAGACATCAAGTCTGGGAAACCTTTCTCTTTTCTGCACAGATGCAGTTGGATATTATATTTGTCGTGCTGCAAATGTTCTGAAGGTCATGTGCATCAAAGAGTCAGTCAGGACTGATGTGGATCCGGACGACATGACTCTGTCACGTTAAAGGGGAAGGAAATGTTTGCAGTTTGCAAATATGAGAAGCTGTTGTCACCTCTATTCTGTGCAACGTAACCAGATGCGCTGTGGTGACAGATCTTCTTTACAGATGAAACCAACTCACTCCAAACGTTATTTTTACACCAGGTGTAGACGGCTTTACTGGCTACATTTATTGTCGTATGTTTAGATGAAATTAAAAATTCCCTTTTAACCCTTTTAGATCACATTTCATATTGTGCAAGTTTTTAACAATATATATGAAAAAGTATAAAAAATGTATGACTTCATATTTATTTTCATCATCATCTTTACTTCCTGTAAAACTAAAATATGACGAAGATTTGTGTGTGGAGCAACGGTTCTCTGGAGCTCCGTATCGCACTAAATGCTGAATCTGTCCACTTTTTAGCACCCCACAAGTCCAATCAATTGTTTAGAATCTGATTTGAATCCCTCTTGTAAATGTAAAGCACTCAAATATTCTGTTTCTTTGGGGAATACGTCACAGGACAGAAAATAAAGACACTCTGACCTCCAGTTTAACTCTGGACTGTAAAGGGACAGTGTGTAGGATTTAGTGATATCTAGCGGTGCAACCAACTGAACATTCCTCTTCTCACTTCTCCTTTTTCAAAACCGCAGTAATGCCGTGGTGTCTTTCAGGACCTTCACCACCTTGCAGCAGAAGATCTACTGTGGCCTTCAGGTACCAAAAAAATGCTAAAGACTTTCTCTAGAGCCAGAGTTTGGTTTGTCCGTTTTGGGCTACTGCAGAAACATGGCGGTGCAACATGGTGTAGTCTGTGAGGGCTCATTCTAAGATAAGGAAAACATAGCGATTCTTAGTTTCAGGTGATTATATAATTATGAAAACATAGTTATGCAAACAGATCCCCCAAAATCCTACACACTGTTCCTTTAAAGTAATATGTAAGTTATTATTATAAGCACATTAATAACAGGGAAGCAGTTTTTTGGCAAGGAAAATCTCCTGTTTTTCTCCTGTGTCTCTTGTGTTCCACGTCCCTGGCTTGTGTCTCTGTCTCTGTATGTGTGTGTGAGTGTCCTGTATTGCCGTCAACCTGGGCCCAGTCTACCTGCACACCTGCCATCAATCAGCTCATCACCTCCTTGCTCTGCACACACCTGTCAGCAATCTACTCATCAACTCCACAGAGTATCAGCTCTGGCTTTCCTTCCCGTCCTGGCTGGATTGTTTGTCTCAGTTAGCCTGCAGACGGCCCTCACCAGTCTGTTTTCCACCCTCTGCCCTCTGCCTCAGCAGCCCAATGTTATAACATTTTTATTTTTATGTCACTCAGGATGAAAATAATGCCAATGGAAAGTCATTTAGGATCCTATTTTGTGGTGGATGCACAAAATAAATGCCTCCACGTGACTAGTTTTAGAATTTAAGACCTGTGTTCAACACCTTGTTGTGGTTGTATGGTTGCGGTTTTGTTGCCTAAACCTATCATTCGATTTGTTGCTCAAACCTAGCTGTAGATAGTCATTTTAAGCCCAACCATGATGTTTTTCCAAAACCTAACTAATGGATTTTTTTGCCTAATCCTAACTTTCT